TTTTTTTTAGCGGGGGGGGGGGGGCGGGTGTTTGGCTGCATGGCTTGCGGGATCTTAGTTCCCTGACCAGGGATTTAACCTGGGCCACAGCATTGACAGTTCCAAGTCCTAACCTCTGGACCACCAGGGAATTCCCAACTGTGATATTTTCTAGTTTGGAATGAAATGTCTTGAATCCTATCCTGGCGTCAGTGATACCAGCCCCTCCTGGGCACCCCTCACCTTGTCTTTATAAGGCTCTTTCCTACTCAGTGGTTCACACTCCCCACAGCTCTGTAAGGCAGGCAGGAAAGGGAGCTGTGGAAATGAGGCTCAGGGAGGGAGGGACACTTGCTTGAGCCCCCGCTGTGGCCCTGCTCACCTTGATCCAGAGTATCTTGTTCATGGGCAGCTGAAGGGCTGTGTGCTGCCAGGCCATGAACTCGTCCACGCGGGCACGTGTGTGCAGGTCTGGTGGGTACCAGTGCGAGGGCGCACTGTACTTGCGGCACAGGTAGAAAAGGATGGCCACACTGCAGAGAGGACAGTCAGGGCGCTCCTCTGGCCACCCCAACCCTCTACACGAACCATCCAGAGGGGCTGGGCCCAATGTCGGCTGGGTGGGGAGAGGTCAGGGACAGCCAGAGACGGCCTGCACCGCTCTGTCCATGCCCACTGCCCACCGCCCCCACCGCCACACCTTCCGTGCCTCCTGATCCTGCACCTAGAGGTTACGGTCCTCACTGCTTATTCCCTGCCTTCAGCCCTCCCACACTGGGAGCTCGGATACCAAGCGGGGACCACACACACCAGCACGTTCTCTGACAGCCCCTGCCCCCAGGGTGAACCAGAGCGTACTGTGACCAGAGGAGCCTAACCTCCTGGCGGACAGGCGCCCAGCCCACATCACAGTCCCTGGGATGACCCTGGAATAGGTATCTGGCCTTTTGTCTGGCCAACACCCTTTCCCCCACTTTTCCCGCAGGGACCCGCTCCACCAACAGTGATTCTGGCCCCGGTGACTGGCAGTCATGGGTCCCAGTGCCCTGGCCAGTGAGAGGCCCACAGGTAAGCAGGTGACTCGACTGGGCCCATCCCTGTCCTTCCTGAGAACTTCAGATCACCCACGAAGGAGGGGTTGCTCGTTTTGCGAGGACCAGGTGCTTCAAAGATGAGGCTACAGAGCTGTTGCTGGTGGTGGGAACAGGAGAAAATGCTGAGAGAAGCTGGCAGGTGGGCTGGTGGGAGAAAGCATCAGTACCACCATCACCAGGCCCAGATTCCCCTGGCTTGTCACATCCCCCAATAAGCTCAAACTAGTTGACCTGAGTTTCTGCCTTGCGTGGCTGGTGTCCTTAGCCCCTCACTCAGTGCCCTTATAGACACCTGTGGGCAGAGGGGCCAGGAGGCTGGAGGGATGGGGGAAGGGTGGGTCTTTGGAGAAGGTCTAAGGGGGATGGTAGTGGATTCATAGCCGTTCTAAGGCCCAGGACTGGGAGGTGGGAGGGAAGGACCAGCAGGGTAAGAAGGTGGCATAATAAGAAGGCCAAGGGCAGAGATGGGGGCCCTGCTCTGGAGAGAAAACCAAGGGTGTGGCTGGTAAAGATATTAGGCAGGTGACTTGTGAATCTAAGGGACCATTTCAGCAGAAACACTGACAGCTTGTACTGAAGGAGACAGATGGGATGAAATAAACGAAGGCTGTCAGACACCTCTGTGAAATGGGCTGATGGGACTATTCAACCTTCAAGAAAAGGAAAGAATAACCCAGAGGGAGGCTCAGGGGCCAGTAGGGCTGTCCTGCCACCACAGGCCTGGGGTACTGGTTCTAAAAGGTGGGGCCAACACCCTGATAGGCTCAGAGGACAGAGTATGGAGCTAAAGAGGATCATTTTGTTAAGAGAGAAACGAAAGGCCCAAAATGGGGTCACTCGTGCTAAGCCCCACATCAGCAAACCGAGACTCAGTACCTTAACCTAACTGCAGTTTCAGCCTCTGCCAGGAATGTGACCTTTAACCAGTTAATCTGGAATTACCTGGCCAGCACTAGTGAGGTCATCTGGCTGATAGACCCCTGGCTTTCCCCAAAGAAAGGTGATCTTGCCTAAAACAATCCACTCTTTGCTAGAAACTTCCTTTTCCTGCCTCCTTCTGCCTATAAAAAGCCTTTCATTTTGTACAGCTCATCAGAGCTCCTTTCTAGGTGGGATGCTGCTCTGTTCATGAATTGTTGAATCTTTAATTTTACTCAGTTGAATTTTGATTTTTAACAATGCTCAAGCCTTAAAATTGAATGCAATTTATGCTGCCAGGTTTCAGACTTGCTGGCGATGCACGAGCCTTTTATTCCTTCCTATCCTCTGTTTTGGAATGGTAATGTCTAGCCTATGCCTGTCCCCCCACTGTATTTTGGAAACAGGATAACTTGTCTGGTTTCACAGGTTCATAGATGGAAGGGAATTTTGCCCCAGGATGAATCAAACCCTGAATCGCACCTGACTTGGATGATTTAGAGGATGGCATTTTGGACTTAAAGGTGATGCTGGGATGATTATTACTTTTGGAGATGCTGGGATGAGGTGAATGTATTTCACACATGAGCAGGACATGAATTTGTGGGGGGCCAGGGAGCAGACAGTTATGAGTTGAATTGTGTCTCCCAAAAAAGACATGTTGAAGTCTTAATACCCAGTGCCTTAAAATGTGACCTTATTTGGAAAGAAGGTCTTTACAGAGGTCATCAAGTTAAAATGAGGTCATTGGAGTAGATGTTAATCCAAAATGACTGGTGTCGGGACTCCCCTGGTGGCGCAGGGGTTAAGAATCCTCCTGCCAATGCCAGGGACATGGGTTCGATCCCTGGTGCGGGAAGATCCCCCATGCCTCGGAGCAACTGAACCCCTGCGCTACAACTACTGAGTCTGTGCTCTAGAACCTGCGAGCCACAACTACTGAGCCCATGTGCTGCAACTACTGAAGCCTGTGCACCTAGAGCCTATGCTCCGCAACAAGAGAAGCCACCGCAATAAACCCATGCACCGCAACAAAGAGTAGCCCCCACTCACCGCAACTAGAGAAAGCCCACATGCAGCAACAAAGATCCAATGCAGCTAAAAAAATTTTAAAAAAAGACTGGTGTCCTTATAAAAAGGGGATATTTGGACACAGAGACATGCACAGAGGGAAAGCGATGTGAATAGACACAGGGAGAAGATGGCCATCTTCCAGACAAGGAACACCCTAGGCTACCAGAACCTAGGAGAGACCTGGGACAAATCCTTCCTGGCCCCTTCATGGAGAGCATGGCCCTACCAACACCTTGATTTCGCACTTCTACCCCAGAGCCATGAGACAATACATTTCTGTTGTTCTAATCCAGCCAGTCGGTGGTACCCTCTTACAGCAGTCCTAGAAATGTACCTAGCCCTGGGCCACCCAGACTTCCATGGTCCACTTGGGAGATATACTTTAAGTTATGAGACCACCTGTGAAGCAGGCTGAGAAACAATGAACCCTGAATCTTACCAAACCTTGAGATCCAACTACCAATTTACAGGAAATGAAGGGACAGAAAGCCATGTTACACGGCACCATGAGGATGCAGTCAGCAAAATTTAGACCATTGGAAATTCCACAGGACAAAGGAGCTGGTTTCTTCAACCATGGCAAAAATGCAAAGGTCAAAGGTCCAAGGTGGGGCGTGGAGGGGGCTGGAGATGAAAAGAGACTGAAGAGGTGGATCAATCAGTTGCACTCTTTGCAGCTTATTTGGACCCTGATTCCAAGGCACGAACTGCAAAGAAAATATGTCTGAGATATTCAGAGACTGTCAAATGTGAACAGGATATGTGATGAAATACAGGAATTATTGTTAATTTTATTAGGTGTCATCATGGTATTGTGGTGATGCTTTTTTTTTTTTTAAAGAGACTTTATCTCTTAGAAGGTCATTCCTAAACATTTACAGGTGAAGGAATGGAGTGGCCAGGAGGCAGGGGAACAGAGTGGAGTATAGATGATGCAAAATGGGCCCCTGGGTGGACCACTGTTGGAACTACGGGGTGGGTACGTGGGTCCGTTATACTCCTTCTTATTTACTATTTACTCTACTTTAGTGTATGTGTGAACTTTTCCAGAGTAAAAAAAAAAAAAAAAATCAATAGGCACCAGCAGAAGGGCTGCCACTGAATCTCTCAGGAAGAGCAGACACATGGTGGGAGAGCCAGGGAAGACCGTTACCTTTCAGATAAGACAAATTTTCCATCTTTGAGACTGGGCAGCTTCCTCAGGGGGTTGATCTCGATGTACTCCTTGCTGTGGTGGTGACCTGAGAGGTGCAGGAAGGTCTGAGACTGCTGGGACCCCAGGGAAGAGAGACCCAGGCCTCCCAAAGGCAGAAATGCCTTTCCATTTTCTCAAGAAGGGAAACTGAGTCCCAGAGGAAAACCATGGCTCACCCCAGGTAAGGGGGCAAATCAGCGGCCCAACAGGGACCAGGTCAGGACGCCTGCCCCCATCCCAGGCTCCGTGACCAGGACAACCTTTTGGCTCACAGAAGCTGGAGGCCTCCAGCCCTCACCCCCAACTCTGGGCCTAAAGCCACAGCCTGTGAATCAACAGAAGCCCTAGGGGCCTGGATCCCACCCCTAGACCCCCTGCCCCTCTAAGGGGAGCAGGGCAGGTGCCAGCACAGGAGCCCCAGCCCCAGCACACAGATGGAATCCAAAAGGGAGCCTCCCATAGGCACTCAATCCAGGTGATCCAAACAGAGAACCCTATGTGTGTGGGGGGTGGGGGCGGGAAGTTTTAACTCCTCCTTGGCCAGCTGCCTCCACTGAAAACACTTCAGGGGGCCCTACTTCCACCCCGATAATGTCCAGGGCTCCCGGGTCTCCTCCTCTGTGTTCTGGAGGCTCCAGCCTCTGCAAGCTGAGGTTTTAGAGCTGCTTGGTATGGTGATGGAGAGTGCGGCCACGGACCTCACCCAGGCTTGGGGGTCACCCTGAGCAGGTCTGAACACTTGGAGCGGGGGAACGGGTGTGGATTGAAGTAAATGAGGAATAACCATGCGCCTCTGCGACCTCTGCCAAACCAATTGGCAGGTGCTGCAGCTGACGAGGTGCTGGGCACCCTCGAGGAGAAGGTGGGGCGCTAGGTGGGGGTCCCTCCGCCCCTCTTCCTCCCACTTCCCCCCGGAAGAGCCTGTTCACAGTGGGGCAGAGTCCGTGGGGACCCGCAAAGGCAGGCGGGGCAGGAGCACCACCAACAACTCCTTTGGGAAGCTTTTCTTCCCTTTGGACTTTGTGGGGGTCTCCTCTGTCTCTGTCTCCGCTTCTCAGAAATACCCCACCCTTGTGTCCTGCCTTCCCACCCGGGCAGCTGCGGATGCTGACCTTTCAGCAGATCCACAAACTGGAAGTCGAAAGGGATACCGTTCTTCCTGGCGAAGATGTAGACAGCGCGGCACGACGCAGACAGCAGGTCCAGGTAGAGCTCCAGGCCCATGCTGGGCCCCCGCTGCGGCCGGCAGACACCCAACCTCAGCCAAAATGCAGCCTGCGCCCTGGCCCTGTGCGCACCAGCCCAGGCCCAGGCCCCTGCGTTCTGGAACCTCTTGTTCACTTGGTGTTGTCATGAGGCCGAGAAGCCTGGAATTCTCACAGCAGCAAAGATTCTGAGGAAACCCAGCAACAGGCTGGGGAGAGGCCTGTGGCTTGGGGCCAAGGGGTCAGGGGTGGTTGTGACCTTGCCCTTCCCCTCCCTGGGGGTGTCCGTTTGTACTCCGGGCCCGGGTCTGAGAAGGGCTTTCACGTGGGAACTCCCGGGGCCAGGCCTTCATGGCAGAACGTAATCGAAGGGGCGTTGCAGGGTCCAGAGTGAGGACGGGATGAGAACTAACCCAGGAGGCTTCCAGAAGCAGGGAGCAGGGGTATCCACAGGTCAATCTAGCCTGGCTAGAAACGGGTGGGGAGAAAGAAACAGGAGCCCAGGGGGCTGTCAGGGCATTGGGGTGACGCCACAGGGGACTCAAGGGGCCACGCAGAGGAGCCCAGAAACCTCCAGCCTGGGTTGGGACTGGCTGTGGCCAGGCCAAGCACCTGGACTCGGCACCTGGCGGCAGAGGAAGGTCACTGTGGGGGCCTGAGTGCTGCTCACTCTGAGCTGCGTGACTTCAGGAGATCCCCTGACCATTTGGAAATGGGGAGAGCCCACTTCTCGGGACAGAAAGAGGCTGGACACGAGTTGGGGACATACAGAGTGTTTACTGCAGATGGCAGAGCGCAGGGGCATGGCAGACCCTCAGCGTAGCCGCTCCATCACCCTCTGCACAAGCTTCTGGGCCAGCTGGGGGTCCCACTGAGCCTCTTGGGGTTCCCGAGCCTGAAGCACTCACCTGTGGGCCTCCTGGACGAGCTCAAGGCCCAGAGTGGCCTCCACACGGGCTCGCCACACAGCAAGCCAGGGCCAGTCTCAGGAAGAGGTCGCAGCCGACGGCAGTGAGCTGGGCAGACAGGGCAGCTGGGGCCTGGGCTCAGCCTGCGCCCAGAGCAGCCCCAGAGGACAAGTGGGCAGGAGAACCTCACCTGCATCAGCTCCATGAATGCCATCAGATCCTCCAGGGAGACCTGCTCAGTGGCCAGGAAGGGCCTGGCCGCCAGGACCTCCTGATCCAGGTGCTGCAAAGCGGGCGTCAGCTTCCCCAACAGCTGCTCCAGCTGCACAGCATCCACAGGCTGCCCGGAGAAGTGAGGCAGGAGAGACTGGGCTGGGAAGAGAGGCGACAGCTTATCTTGGGGCCCTCCAAGCCTCCTCAACCTCTCCTTCACCCCTCCCTCAGCAGCCATTTATCAGCGATGCCCTCTGGGGCTCTGCGTTCAGAAGGATTCTGAGGTTTCATTCAGGCTCAGGGGAAAGACAGCTGTGATAGATTAGTGATGTCTGCCCAGGGCAGTAGATGAGAGTTGATATAAGGGCCAACCGGTCCCTTCCAGCTCTGGGGGTCCTGGCTCCTGCCCAGGCAGGATAGGGCAGGGAGGCTCACCTTACACAGGTAGACGTTGGTGGCAGGCAGCTGGATGGCCATGTGCTGCCACACCAGGTACTCATCCACACGGGTGTGGGCCTGCAGTTCAGGTGGGTACCAGTGTGCCTCTGCCTGGCATTTGTGGCTCAGGTATAAAAGGATGGCCATGCTGTGGGCAGGAGGTGTCAGAGATCTGCCCACCCCACCTGGGCAGCTCCATCTCTCACTAGCAGGGAGATTTGACTGTGCCAGCGCTCCAACTCCACCGCCTGGGGAGGAGCTCCCCACAGCCATGTCCCCTCCAGGTGGCATCTTCCCCCACCAAACGGCTCCATTCCTCCCTTCCAAGCTCTGCTCCTCCCTGGGTTTCAAGCCCCCTCCCTGCTACTACTCCAGCCTGCTCTCTGCCTGGTGACCCAGCTCTCTGGTATCAGGGTCGCTACTCGGAGGGAGGGAGGCAGACCTGCCACAGACACCCCGTCCTAAGGGGTCTCCAAGTTCCCTTCCTGGGCCAGTTCTACCTGGCGCTCAGAGTCTGGGGGAGGGGCCCAGAGGGTCCCCCACTCTATTTTTTTTTGGCCACACCTCACGGCCTGTAGGATCTCAGTTCCCCAACCAGGGATCAAACCCGAGCCCCTGCAGTGGAAGTGTGGATTTTTCTTTTTTTTTTTTTTAAGAATTTATTTATTTATTTATTTATTTATTTATTTATTTATTTATTTATGGCTGTGCTGGGTCTTTGTTGCTGTGCACGGGCTTTCTCTAGTTGCGGTGAGTGGGGGCTACTCTTCATTGCAGTGCTCTGGCTTCTCATTGCGATGGCTTCTCTTGCTGCGGGGCACAGGCTCTAGGCGTGCGGGCTTCATGAGTTGTGGCACGTGAGCTCACTGGTTGTGGCTCGCAGGCTCTAGCGTGCAGCCTCGGTAGTTGTGGCACACGGGCTTTGTTGCTCCATGGCATGTGGGATCTTCCCAGATCAGGACTCGAACCTGTGTCCCCTGCATTGGCAGGTGGATACTTAACCACTGCGCCACCAGGGGAGTTCCAAAAGTGTGGATTCTTAACCACTGGACCACCAGGGAAGTCCCCTGACTCTTGATCCCCCTTGGGCTCCAGGCACTTGGTGCCCAGTTTCCATCCTCCAACAAGTTCTGGGAGGTGGTTACCTTATTACCCCATTTTACAGAAGAGAAGCCTGGGGCACGAAGCTCTGTGACCTGCCCCTGGGCAGAAACTGAGGACAGGGGATGGGCATGCAGAGCCCAGTGCAGCCCCAGGGCTGCCCAGCTCCTGTGACTCTGAAAGGACATGTTCAGACATCTGGGGAGGGGCTCCCCTCAAGCCTGGGTCTTCCCCAGTTGCATCCACGTTGTCCAGGCCTAGGGGGTGGCCTACACCCCCTTCCATTCTGAAGCTCCCAGCTTTAGCCCCAAAGCAGCCCCCTGGTCCAGCTCCCAGCCCTCCGAGCTGGATTCGCTGAAAGGAGGAAGGGGCCCAGCAGTCTGGAAAGATCTTCAAGCCAGGGGCTACCAGCTTTCTGCCTGCCTCCTCCTGCCTCCCCCCAGCAATGAGCCCCAGACCCAGGGCACCTTACCTCTCAGCCACCAGAAAGTCCCCATCCATGAGGGCAGGCACCTTCCCCAGGGGGTTCACCTTCAGGAATTTGGGTTTCAGGTGCTCCCCTGGGGGGCAGAGAGCAGAGGAGGTTCAGCGCAGGGTCTGGCCCCTAGGCATCCCCTCCATGGAGCCCACCTAGCTCCGCTCACCCTGTGCCAGCTCTACAGGGTGCATCTCAAAGGGGATGCTGTTCTTCCTGGTGAAAATGTAGATGGCACAGCAGGGGGGTGAGTACAGGTCCAGAAAGAGCTCAAGCACCATCCCTGTGCTTCCCGTTGGCCCTCTACTCAGGCCTCCAAAATGGGGTCCATGGTCTGATCCATGCCCCTCCCTGAAGCCTACTCCCTCCACAACTGGCTGGGCGCCCAGCCAAGCCATCACACCTTGTGGCCTCTGCCCCTGTGAGGGGCTGGTCACTGGTTTTTCGAAAGCAGGGTCCCCAGCCTGGTCCTCCTCCGCCTTCATGGGGCGGTGCAAGCCGATGGACACTCCCACCCCTGCTCTCTTCATCTGGGGCGGGGGGGGGCAACCTCCCCACCCCCACCCTCCGCTTCCCTTCAGTCTAGGCAGCTTTCACTGTTCTTCAGGTCCACTGCGACACACGTCAGGTTCTTAAGGATTTCTGTCTTCCCTCCCACCATGCCTGTGCCACGCACACCCCACACACACAACCCCACACACTCAGAGTCATACACAGAGTCTCTCTCTCTCACACACACACACACACACACACACACACACAGAAGCACACACACAGACACTCCCATGCCCACCCCACCCCTCTGAGTAACTATCCCAACTTCCTACTGGGACCTCCCTCTGACCTCCTCGTGTGCCCCCCGAACCCCCGCCCCTCGGGCTCAGGCAGACCCTCCATCACCAAGTGCTGTCCCTCCACCTCCTGCATCTCTTACCCCACAACCAAGACTCCGATGGCCTGGCAGCCTCACCAACCTCCAGCCTCAGCCCTGCCTCCATCGAGACTCTCATCCTGGTGCACACAGCACAGGACCAGAGGTTTCCTTTCTTTCTTTCTGTCTTTTTATAAATTTATTTACTTTTTAAAATTTTTGGCTGCGTTGGTTCTTCGTTGCTGCGTGTAGGCTTTCTCTAGTTGCAGCGAGTGGGAGCTACTCTTCTTTGCTGTGCGTGAGCTTCTCATTGTGGTGGCTTCTCTTGTTGCAGACCGTGGGCTCTAGGCACACGAGCTTCAGTAGTTGTGGCGCACGGGCTTAGTTGCTCTGCCACATGTGGGACTTTCCCGGATCAGGGATCAAACCCATGTCCCCTGCATTGGCAGGAGGATTCTTAACCACTGTGCCACCAGGGAAGCCCCTCCCTCCCTTCCTCCCTTTTCTTTTCTTTCTTTCTTTCTTTCTTTCTGGATTTCCTCTTTATTTCTTCTTTCCTTCCTTCCTTCCTCCCTTCCTCCTTTCTTTCTTTCTTGATTTCCTTTCTTCCTTCCTTTCTTTTCTTTCTTTCTGGATTTCCTCTTTCTACCTTTCTTTCTTCTTTCCTTCCTTCCTTCTGTTTCTCCTTCCTCTTCTTTTCTCTTTCTTTCTTTCTGGATTTCCTTTCTTTCTTTCTTTCTTTTCTTTCTTTCTTTCTTTCTTTCTTTCTTTCTTTCTTTCTTTCTTTCTTTCTTTCTTTCTTTCTTTCTGGATTTCTGCTCTTTTTTCCTTCCTTCCTCCCTCCCTTCCTCATTTTTTTCTCTTTCTCTCCTCCTTCCCTTCAACTCTTTCCTTCTTTCTCATGTAAGGAGCCCTGGGAGACTGCCCTCCCTTCCCTGCCCCACCCCACCTATAAGCAAATAAATCACTCTGTTGAAAATAGAAACGTGGGGACTTCTCTGACGGTCCAGTGGTTAAGACTCCCCGCTTCCACTGCAGGGGGCACACGTTCGATCCCTGGTCCGAGAACTAAGATGTCGCATGCCCAGGGCGCAGCCAAAAAAAAGAAAGTAGAAATGTGGGTAAGGAAACCCCGAGAAACTTGAAAGCATGGTGTGCTTTCACCTATGCTGTATCGGACGCTTATGGGCCATTCCCTAAACGTTTGTGTTTGGGCTCGCGGTTGGTTGTAAAGAGCCCTTGACTATAACACAGGGCGAAGGCTTTGTGATGATTAAAGACCGTGCGTCGCGTCCTCTCGAGACCCTGCTAGGATGCAGCCACGGAATAAGAAGCGTTCTTCACAAATGACAGGAAAAGGCCACCGGAGAGGAAATGCAAGAAAATTCCCCAGGTTTACGCCTAAAAATGTAAATCCCCAGTGAAACCAGCCTGAGAATCTATCGGTAAGGAAGAAAGCGCAACGCAGTAGAAAACTGGGCAAAAGATAAGAACTTTTTTCTTTAAAAAAAAAAGAAAGAAAATCAGTGTTTTTCTTGCATTTGCTGTTTTTCCAGCGTCTGACTCAAAACAGTCAATATGCCAGAGTAGCATATTTGGGGGTGACTTCTGACTTCCTTCAATTATAAACACATACCTAACGGCAAACACCAAATTCCCGAGCGTGGAGGTTGAGGTGGAAGCACCCGAGGGCTTCACTTAAGCCCGACCCACGTGGGGGATACACGAGTACTTGTATATTATTCTCTATAATAATAAATTAAAACCTCCATACTAATAAAAAGGTCATTGCAAAAACAAAAATTACGCCAGACGGCCCTTCTCTTGGAAGCGTGCCTCATGCCGGCCCTTGGCACAGCATTTTATCAGCCCTCACTTTGCCCCTCCGGCAGACACCACCAGCACACAGACTCTTTGGCCGCCCGGCTCCATGGCCCGCCCCCCGGCCCCGCCCCGCCCCTCGGAGCACAGTCTCTCAGAGCACCGCCCGGAACGCGGAGCGTACTGTGGGCGGGCCCACCTCGCAGCCCTCGCCCCTGACCTGCTAGGCCCCGCGCGCGGAGCTCGCCGGGATTGGGGGGGGGTTGCCACGGCAACGGTCGGCGCGCGCTGGACCGTTAAGGTCTGGTGACTCGCGTGGCCGTCGTGCCCAGGGCCCCCGAGAGCGTTGTGTGGTTCCGTGATTGCTGGGCGGCGGCCTAGGCTGAAGGGAAGGGGCGGGAAAACCACCCGGGAGGGGGGCCTAGAAAGCGCCGGGGCCTGTGGGGCGGAAGGGAAGGGTTTGGGGCCTCGGAGCTGAGACCCCGCCGGGCGAGGGGAGAGAGTGCAGTCTCCGGCCATGTCGAGTGGAAGGAACTGTGCCGGGGCCCAGAGGGGGAGACAGGAAGGCGCGAATAGAAGAGGGTGGACTCAAAAAGTGGAGGGAAAAAGGGAGGTGGAAGAAACAGAGCTGGGCAGACCTCCCAGCAAAGCTGAGTCCATGGCGTCATTCCCTAGCCCTAGACGCCTCATCGCTGAGCAAAGCATAATAGACCCCTACTCATTTTTGGAAGGTCAATATTTTTTACGCACAGGATAGGGGAGGGGAAGAACGGTCAGGGAAAGGGGAGCGGGCAGGGAGGAGACCTGAGTCAAGACCCCAGTTCTGAAGCAGGAAGGGTCCTCAGAGGTTGCTTTCACGTGTAGGTGGAAGTCTGACCACAGCTCTTCTGGCGCCTAAAGCTCTCTTAACCACCCTGAGTCTTTTCTCTACCTGTGGGAGACTTACCTTTGGGTTAAGGAGGGGAAAGAGGAAGGGACACATGGACAGTAGCAGCGCAAGGAAGGGATGCCAATGGGAGGAGGAGAGAGCACCATGAAGGCCCACCCGGGTGAGAACTAGAGACTGATTTTAAGAGAAGTCCCTGTCATGACACCCCAGTCCCACCCATTTCAGGGCTTCTGGGTGAGGTGGACCAAGTCTAAGACGAGGGGGTTGGGGCAAGAAGCCTCACAGTAACCCTTGTCAATAGGAGACTTCACATGGGACCTCTCCCCATCTTGTTCATGCTTTGTTCATCCTTTGCCAGGGCACCTTGGGGTCCCAGGTGAGGACCTTGGTGGTCTTACTCCGATAGAAACTGCTATGACTGTAGGTGAACGGCCCCTGCCCCGTAGGACAAGTTACCGCTGATAACGCCAGGGAACATCACAGTTGGGAGGTTATTGAGCTCCCCACAGTTTTCTGAGGCTGCCTTGTCATCTGTAAAGTAATTGCAGCTCTACCCTCTCCGGAGGTGGTTACAGAGACCTAGTGAGACGCTGAAAGTGCTTTTAAAGGGTGTGGGGCCCTGTAATGCAAGGACGTGTTACCAGAAAGCCCAGTCCACGTGGCTTGGGGAGCCACTGGGGAAGGAAGGGACTGGAGCCAACCTTACCCAGCCAGGGCCTGCTGCCACCACTTGCCAGCAGGGCCAGATGGGCTGCCAGTCTGTTTGCCCTCGTTCTCCCTGTCCGCGCTCTGGGTCCAGAGACCTGGATTTGAATCCTGGATTTGTCACTAGCTGAGTGATCTTGGGCAAGTCATTTCAGCTTTCCTGCTTAAGTAGAGCTAAGGTGGCCTGTGAATGAAACCATATAAACGGAGGCATTTCTGGCTCCAGAGGAAGGCCACTGCTGTCTGGGAGGAGCCCTTGCCAGGAATCTGTTAGAGACAGTGATTTTGTCACCAGCTGGAATGGCATGGGACAAAGCACTGCAGTTGTCTTGTCCTCACCAATTGCCTTGACCTCATCCCTCATGTTATCCTGTCATTTTCAACACTGTCACCTCCTTCAGCCTTAGCATTGGCCTTGGCCTTAGTTTCCTCCTGTGTGACTTGGGGGTGATGATTCCTGCAGGAATCAGTAAGCTTGGAATAAGGAAGCTCTCAGGTCACATTACAGTTCACATGCATTAGGTGGGGTATTCAGTCCTGAAGAGCAGCAAATGGGATGGCCTGGTGTGAGAACAAAGCTGTGGAGAACATCAGGGGCCCTGTTAACAGCCAATAAGAGTCTGACCCGTAAGCACCAGGGCGGGGTGGTGGGGTGGGCGTTGAGTCTTGACTATAGAGTCTGTTGGAAAAGCAGGCTGAACAGAAAAACCGGGTCATTGTCAACACACTCAAGATGATAAGCAACCTTTTTTTATATATAAAGCGATTATTTAGATTGAGAAATTATGAATTTTAAAAACAAGTACCACAAGCTCAAGAAAAATATCCTGACATTCTTCTTAACTGCTGGACACACCTTCACCTTTCAAATACTCCCTCCCCCAACCCCGCCCCTGTATTTTTGGACTGCAGACTCTTTGATTACCTTTCATTGTGACAATTATTTTATATTTCCTACACAGAAGAGGTGATTTCCCCCACCTCTCCTTTGGCAG